CGCCCAACCGACTGGCTATTCCCCATGCCACATTAAATAAACCATTAGTTAAGAACTAATAACTTTGGCGACGGGCCGCAGACGAGCATTAATATTGAAGTTTGCATATCAGTGGGAACGTAATATGGAAATAGTTGGCCGGCCTGTCAGGACCTCATAGATCACTTTAATAAATGCCGGCGGGAGATAATCGGGCAGGCACAAACAGACGAGGCTTAAGTCCCCTTGGATCTTGTTGCTGCAGGTTTTCGAGGATAATGAAAGAGAAGGGGTCAAGGGGGGAGAGACGGAAGGAAGGCGGGAAGGAGAAAAGAGGATTTGTGGGCGCTTTCTTTTCCTTTCTCCTTCTTTTTTTTATTTCTTTTTTTTCGTTTTTTGGCTGTTTTCTTTTTTTTTTTTTTCTTGTAAGTGAATGAGAAGGGGTGGGTGATCGAGAGATGAGAATAATGGGAGTTCGAAATATAAGGTGATAGCGTGCAGTACGAAGAAAGAACGAGGCTGGAAAAATGGGAGGGGAGAGCATTTTTTAAGGAAAGAGTGGGGGACAAAGGAGATAAGTCTATACAATGTAGTAGTCTTTTGCTGTTCAGTCGTTAGTGGCAAAAATGTAGTTTTGGTGAGATGGGTGACAGAGTGGGGTGGAAGTGGGAGAGGGAGTGAGGCGGAAAGGGAAAAGGGGGTGGTGGGGAGGGGGGGGGCTCAGAAAGCTGACCGATGATTCTCCATCGGCGTTTCAGTGACAAAAAGTCAAGTTTTGTTCTTTGTTTATTTGTTTGTTTGTTTGTTTGTTTCTTAAAATAACCGTTATCTTTGCAATACTCGCTACGGTTTTCAACATCGAGGCGTTATTTTTCCGAGCTCTGGTGAGGATGACCTGTTTTTAGAAAGGGCATTTCAAAATCACAGGGAAGTACTTTTTGGTTTCAAGTGTGATGTTCACTGATGACAGACGACTTAGCAGTCGTCACGAAATGATCCTAATCCTTAATTACGGGTCTAATGATGATACATGTATATTGGTTAGGCGTTCACAGTAGACCCGTGTTCGAATCCCATGTGGGAAGGTTTTGTATCAAGTATCTTGGTCTTTCTGCTGAGA